TGATTCATTCTTTTACAAATCTACTTCCAGTTTTGCCAGCACCATTTGTTGAAGACACTCTTTTCCCATTTAATGTGTTTTAGCACTTTGCCAAATATAAGCTGACTGTATGTGGATAGATTTACTCCTGGGCTCTCAATTCTGTTTCATTGACCTACGTACTTTTATTGTACTAATACCAGGCTGTTTTGACCACTTTGTCTGTGTAGTAAATTTTGAAATCAGGGAGTGAGAGGCCTCCAACTTTGTTCTTCTTAAGCAGTGTTTTATTCTTCTGAGGTTTCTTTCCCTTCCATATATGTTTTTACCACCTCCTTAAAGAATGTTGTTGGAATCTAGATTGGGATTGCATTATATAGGTATGTTGGTTTGGGTAGTATTGTACTGACATTTCCACAATGTTGTCTTCCTATCCATGAGCATAGTATAACTCTCTATTGGTTTCTTATAGTTCTGTTTTGTAGTTTTGTTTAGGTTTTTGTTTCTCTTGTTAGATTTATTCTTAATTACTTCATCCTTTGCGTGGCTATTGTAAATGGTATTGTTTTCCTAATTTCCTTTTCAGAGCTGTCTTTATTAGTATAGAGGAATCCAACTGATTTTTTTGTATAATGATCTTGTACTCTGCTGCTTTGCTGAATCCTTCAATGAGGTTCAATAATTTTTTTTATTGAGACTTTGGGATTTTCAATGTATAAAATAAAATCATCTGCTAACAGTAAGAGTTTTACTTCTTTGTTAATTTGGATGTCTTTAATTTCCCTTTCTTATCTTATAGCTCCGGCTAAGACTTCAAACACTTAATCTTCCACTATTGAAGAGGAGTGGTGATAAAAAGCATCCTTGTTTGGTTCCTGTTCATAAAGGGAAAAGTTTTCAGTTTCTCCCCAGTGCAGTGATGCTGACTTTTGTAAGTATTTTTTAATGATGTTGAGAATTTTCCTTCAAATCCTACTTTGTTGAGTGTTTTTATAAAGAATGAATGTTGGATTTAGTCAAATGTCTTTTCTAAGTCAATTGATATGATCATGTGATTCGTTTCTTTTTATTTTTTAATTATATGGTAGATTATAATGATTGCTTTTGTAACACTGAACCCTTTTTGCATTCTTGGTATGACTTTAACTTGGTCATAATATATATATATGTGTGTGTTGTTGAATTATATTGTCTAAGAATTTGTTGAGAATTTTTACATCTATTTTCAAGAGGGATATATATCTATAATTTTCTTTTTTAGTGATGTTTTTGCCTGATTTGGGTATGAAGATTATGCTCACTTCATATAATGTACTGGGGAGTCATCTATCCTATTCTTATTATATAAGACTTTTAGTAAAATTGGTGTCAACACTTTTTTGAATGTTTGTTAAAATTCACCAGTTAAACCATCTGGGCCTAGAGTTTACTTTGTTGGAGTTTTTTAATGACCTGATCAATTTCTTTTTTATATATGTTTGTTCAAGTTTTCTAATTCATTTTGTGTTAGTTTAGGTACATGGTGTTTTTCTAAAAATCTACCCATTTCTTCCAAATTTTCAAATGTATTGGAGTACAGGTCTTCATAATGTTGTGTTATTATCCATTGGTTCTGTTGTGATGCCACCCATATTGTTTCTTATACATATGACTTGTGTCTTTTCTCTCCTTTCTTTTGTGAGGTTTACCAATGGCTTGTTAATTTTATTAATCCTTCTTTCAAAGAACCACTTTCTTTCCTTGTTGATTCTTTCTATTGTTTTTCTGTGTTCCAATTCATTTCTTGTGCAGCGCTGTGGGCTAATGTGTCAGACAGGGAAGCCATTTGAACTGCAAGGTTGGCAGTTCAAGCTCACCAGCTGCTCCTTGGAAACCCTATACAGGGTCGCTATGGGTCAGAACCAACTTGACGGCAATTCACAACAACAACAACAATCTTGATTAGTTCTTTTCTTCTGGTGACTCTAGACTTAGTTTGCTGGTCTTTTACCTATTGCTGGAAGTGTTGTGCTAATGTGTTGGTTTGGGTTTCAAATCATGTTCCTTTTATGTGTTATCTGAATTTGGGGAAGAAAAACAAGAGCATGATCAGAGGTTTAGGGCCAATGGGGAAATGTTTCCCAATTAAATTCTTGTACGACAACCCTTGCTAACCTTGAAGAATGAGTATGTGAAATGTCAGGATGGAAAAAAAAAAAAAAATCCCAGATGGAATTTTCTTGGCCTGTGTTTCACCAATGCAGTTTTCAATATTCTTAAAACTTCTTCTTAGTAAGTACCTGTATCCTTTGAGAAAATCCATGAAGATTTATTACTCCTTTGGAGTCATCCAGAGAAGTCATCATAGCCTCCTGAGGTGACTTCTCTGCCTTGAATTCATCTTTTATGTCTTCCTTACATGCTTGATTCATAACATTTGATAAAAAATATTTTATATGGGATGGCATTCCCATAATCTTGTTGCAAAGCGTCAATGATTTGGGAAGATGTCCACATGAGTTCTGCTGAAAATCTGATACTAATATTGACCTCAAATAATTTTTGCCACGGAACAAATATTACTCTTCTTTTGAAAGCGCCTTAATAAGCTAAGGCAAGTACTGAGAGAACTTGTCTGCAGTCACCCACTGATTAGAGACATATTTAAATGTTTTATTTACAATAAACCTTTGCATGTATTAACTAGAACCCTGATAACAGTACTTTTTGACTTACCCTCAGAGACTTAAAAAAAAAGAATTTATACTTAGGCTATTCTTTTTTCACTATTAAAAACCACTTTGCCAGTTTTATGAATCAGAAGCCTTTTTTTATGAATCTCGATTCTGTCATCTAACAAATTGTATTTCAACCTTTTAATTCTGTGCCTTCACTCTTAGTCACGACTAAAATGCTGAAGGTGTCGAACCTTTAGCTTACTACTAGAATATTCTTCCAGGCTGAAGTTAACTCATTAATCACTCCTTAAATGTTACTGCTCACCCAGCGTTGTACATCTTACGTACAGTCCATGCTTCTCCACTGGATCTAGTGGCTATCACATGAGTCTGTCAGATGACTTACTAAAATGGAGAAATATCTGTAACACTTTTGGACTGAGGCTTACGGTAGAGGAGAGTGTCCTTTGAGCATTTATCTGCAGTGCTAAAAGAGTTTGGTAACATTGCTGCAGCAGGGCAGAGGCCAAGAGGCCCATGGCTTAGAGGCCAAGCCAAGGACCAAACAGAGGCCTGCCTGTTAGCATGGATGGAAAAGGGCGATCTTGAAAATCTGTGCCCTGAGTATTTCTGATACTGATTTGTAACCTCTGAACTTCCCTATTGTGATTATTGGTATCTGAGTTCTTTGTGGCCACTGCAGAGACGTACTGAACTCAGCCAAGAATGAGAGTGCTGTGGAAGGAACAATGATGTCAGGACTGGGAGAGAAAGTTAGAGGGAGGGGGCATGTCTGACCTCAGGCTATTTGGAATCAGCCTGGGCTGGTGCTTACAGTGATTCTCCTCCACCCACCTGTGAAGTTACAGGAGGTCAAACACCCTCACCATTTTTCGTTCCATCATCCATCTGTGAGATCACGTTAAACAACAGCAAACATCCCATTAATGAGAAGTCTATGACCTAGCCAAATTCCAGCTAGATTTATTAGCTTTAATACCTGGCATGATACTGCTTCCTGGTTCATTTTCAGGTAAGATCAGCTCTCCCAGACCCGATCGAGGACCAGAACCCAGAAAACGAATATCATTTGCTATCTTCATTAGGCTGCAGGCAGCAGTGTTCATGGCTCCACTAAGTTCAACCAAGGCATCATGAGCAGCCAGAGCTTCAAATTTATTTGGAGCTGTGACAAAAGGCAAGCCTGAACGAAAAAAAGGAAAACAATCTGCACGGGTCAACAACAATAGCAAATGTTTCTAATACCACCAAGGTAAACAGAAAGTTTCAGCATGTGAAAAGCAAAAACAGAAAATAACAGTTTACTTCCAAAAATGTACAGTTAAGGCTCAAGGTATGTCTACATTTAAGAAGTCCTGAAGGAGTGGAAAGAACCTGGTGATACATTTGTACATTAACAGAGTAAAAAAATATATTCATATTTTGAAAGTAAAAAAAGAAACCCACAATCCCACTATAAATGCATGTATATGATGCCTGGCTATGTTGAGGAAGGATGAAAGTGGGTAAAATTCTCACTACCTTGTCTCACAGTCCTTTCCTACGACAAATGTTTTTACCCATATTACTCTGATCCATTTTTTCTTCTAGCTATGGGTCAACAAGAATCTCTGAAAGAAGAGTAAGCCAAAATGAGTAAAATATTCTTAGTGAACGTCTCTGAGGTTCACATTTTAAGAACTACCTAGTCTATAATCTAACAATATGTTTTTGCTGTTAAGTATCATTGAGCTGGCTGCGATTCATGTGACCCTCTATAGGGTTTCCGAGGAGCAGCTAGTGGAGAATATAGTTCTAGCTATTAAAATGTGATTTTTAGAAAGTGCTGCCTCTAAGCAATAATGTGCTTCACATAACTATCTCTACTCTGGCCCTTTGTTAACATCTACATCTTATTAAGATGTTACCTGGAAATGACAACTCTGCTGTAGTAATAACTATTATTATCAAGGGTATAACGCTCACTCTACTAATCCAAGCCAAAACCCAGGATCATTTTACAAAAGGACAGATAATTCCGTTATCTTCGAAAGGTCAGCAATTCAAAGAAATGTCACAGTATGACAAGAAAAAAACGCTAGCAGACATATTAATATCTACATATTAATAACAAAGAATTTTCTCAACTATTAATGGATTCTGCCTGCTTTGAAAAGTGGCATTCAAAACAGCCTTAAAAGAAAAAAGACTGATACCACCAGACAGGAAATAAAGGCTAGCAAGCACTGGCAGCCTTTAGTCTCAGGCTTTATGGACTTATGGATAGCAATTTTTATTTTTATTTTTACAAAATTGGATTTGTATTATGACTTCTGAAAGTTGTAAAACACAAATGTCTGATGGGAAAGTATTATTGATGAAAGAATGTAAGGCAGAAATCTTAGGAGATGTATTAAAAAATTATTAAGAATTCATGTTATCACTGACCTGTGAGTGCAGCCACTTTCGCAGCAACCTTTTCTGCAAAACCAATTCTAGTATTTAAACCAGTACCAACAGCAGTGCCTCCTGCTGCAAGCTCATAGATTCTTGGCATAGCAGCTTTTATTCTTACCATCGCATACTTCACTTGTTGAACATAACCACTAAATTCCTAAAGAAAAGGAAACTACTGTGAGGAAAAAGAGTTTCCTAATGGCTTGCAAATCATTCTCACTGCATCAAATTGAGGTTTATAAAAAGCAAAACACAAAAACCACATCTCAGAATACTAAATAGTAATCCACTCAAGTAGCACTTCTATTGCTTCAACTGATAAGATGAGCAAAGTGTAGGGAAGGATGAGGACTTAAAAACTTATAGGAATGGACAATGCCACTGATGACTATAAGCAGTCTATTTAAAATCTGTTGTTAAATAGCAATCAAAGTAAACCAACACAGAAAATAAATTTTTTAAAAAGGATGACTCCACTATATTTAATTATTGGTTTATTTGCAAACTACTAAATAAACCTCAGCGATTTCTTGTCATTTGGTCCGATCCAGGCAATTTTGAGGGGAAAAAACATCAATCTACCAAGAAAAATACAAACACAGAAACACTTTTCCATATAATTTTAGGTTAAGAATCTGATAGGTAGCATCTTCATATGAAGACATTTTACAGGAGTTCAAGAAGCTGTGAAAGGCACTGAAAAACACAAGAAGGTACCAGCATAGCATAAAACAAAAGATTCAAGATGCACATTTAATTCTGCCATGAATGTCACACTGGCACACAAACTATGACATACTTTAAATTAGGTAATCACAGAATTGTTTTATGCTTTCGAGCTGCAAGGGCTCTAGTAATGGTCATTCAATGACAACAAACACAAACTGGACTCAGCTGAGTAAACAAGGATGTATGCTTATATATACTCATTTTTTTTCTGCCTAAAAACAGACAAAAACTATGATAGTTTCGATTAGGAATTCATACTATTCTAGACATTTTTTACAAAATATATAATTCCTTGCAGGTCATTCTGATTCATCCGATACAAAACCAAATCTATACATGCAAGTTGGATTCATTTATAAATACAACTTAACTTGAAAAAATGGTGTAATTCAATAAAACAATATCAATAAAAGCATATAAATGCTTTTGCTTAGACACGGTCAAACAGAAAATAGAATGTTCTGTTAAACTATGAGGAATGATAATGTCAATAGGCTGAGTCATGGTCAAAATGACTGTCATGTTCAAAGTGGTTTTGAACCCAAAATAAAGGAAGAAAGAAGAAGAAAAAAAGGAAACCAGAAGGATTTCTACTTAGAGGTTATGCAGTGCTAAAGATACTATGATGTACATAACATAATTTTATAAGATAAATTTAAAATTTGGAAATTCAGTTTGCCACATCACCTGCATTTTAATTAATCAAGTTTTCCTCATTTACTCCATAATAAAATTAACCTAAATTATCATGTTTTCTTCAGTGTTTTCCATCATCTGAACAAAAACACAAATAAGAACCATTTCAAGTAAGCAGTAGCTAAACTCTTTCCCTTACCTCATTTTTAATAGCTATTACTCGGTAACAGTCACTTCATACACATAACTACGATATATAATCTGCATATGTCCTATTTACAAACTAGATTGGTGTTTACAGCGACAAACTATTCTTTTTATTTCCTGACCTTTCCTTATGGTATTGCTGCTAGAGATGTGTAAGTACTTTTTGGGTATTTGAGAGAATAATTCCTCGTTCACATGTAACTAAAACAATTTTAAAGAATAAAATCTGACTCATTAAACGACTTGAAAATTAGTTTTTAAAGACTATAGATACGATGAGAGTGACAAATAATGAAATGATATTGATGTTGCTGTTAGGTTCCATCAAGCTGCTACCGACTCATAGCGACCTTATGCACAGAGCAATCTATCTCGTTGGGGGTCTTCCTCTTTTTCTCTGACCCTCCACCTTACCAAACATGATATCCTTTTCTAGCAACTAGGCCCTCCTGACAATATGTCCAAAGTATGAGAGGCGAAGTTTGGCCATCTTGACCTCCAAGGAGCACTCTAGCTGTACTTCTTTCAAAACACATCTATTGGTACTTTTGGCAGCCCATGGCACTTTCAATATTCTCCTCCAACACCATAACTCAAAAGCATCAGTTCTTCTACTGGCTTCCTTATTCACTGTCCAACTTTCACATGCATATGAGGTTA